TCTTTCCCTCCAAACAACCCCCAACACACACACTCTTCACTTCCTTTCTCTCCATCCATCCTCTTAAACTCCACCCCCTGCTTCTCTGCTCCATGCCGAGCCTTTGTGCTCCAAAACTTCCTAATCCCCTAAAACTGCTGTTTAACAGCCGTTCGCCTGCCCTCCTCATCTCTCTCTCTCTCTCGCTCTCACACACACACACACACACACACACACACACACACACACAACCTCAGCTCCATTCATGAAACTAGAAAGCCAGCTGGGATTACATGGATGGAAAGACTGGGCTGCGCTGTTTGGAGAACACCCTCTCTCACACACACCCGCACACAGAAGACTTACAGAAGTACAGTATGTTGGTTGTCAGTGTACACATGGCTGATTGCGTCTTCTTAGTTGAGTTCCCAAAATGTTTTATTAACCTATTAGATGAGAAACTGTATATGTAGAAGCAGGAAACTTCTTTTAACCAATGACTAAACAAATCTTTAATGTGTGACAGGTGATAAATGAAAAGTAAATGTCTGTTAAAAGCCCTAAATCTAGATGACACATGCAGTAAAAATAACAAATTGTGTACATTGCAACTGCCACAATGAACTACCATAAAATTCCCTTCAACTCCATGTGAAAGCTTAAATGAAGATACAAGTAATGAGACCCCACCATCTGTTTGGTGCCTCAGTCTGTGGATCAGTCATGGGTAGTTGACCCCAGAGGGAAACTGTGGAACTCACAGACAGGTGACAAATGAAAGGCAAAACCTGATAAATGACTGGTCCACACTGTCCTATTTGACCTTAACATACAGTTCAGTGTTGTACAGTTGAGGTAAACAGCTCTGACCTCTATGAGCAGAAACTGCAAGTCTTTCTGAGAACGTTTGACATGGACTTAAGAGGCTTCTGTGTGTCTGGACAAGTGTGAGTGAAGAGGCATGCTTGGCATAGAGGGAATGCCAGGGTGTCAGTGTGGGAAGCCTACTGCGCACACACACACACACACACACACACCTACTTGGTACTACTTCAGTCTGCACAAAAACCCTAGAAACAATCTATCAAACCAGGAGGAAAAGGGCAGAGTGTCCTTAGACAAACACATATGGTTTCTCCAGAATGGACTGGCTCCTAATAGGGGACAGGGGTGGAGGCTATTTGTTGGGAGGTGAATAGATTATAGTGTGGTCCAGGGTTTAGCCAGGGGAGTTTAGCCTTCACTGACCTCTAAGCTGGAACAAAAAAAAGCCATGTTGATTAAGAGTGTCATTTTATTCAGGAGATGAATCAAAAGAAACAAGCTTGTTAATATGGAAAAGCAATTAAGAGCAGAGTGCTTGAGAATCTCCAAGAGGGGGGAAACAGGGGGTGAGAGGTGAGGGTTAGAGGGTGAGGAAGAGAGAAGAGAGAGCTGTGCAGACTTTACCAAAGACATCCATTGTTATTG